GATACTTGTTCATCCTTTCTTTTAAAAAGGAAAGCTTAGACTTAAACTGAAGGGGAAAACCATACTGAAACAACTGTGGCAAAAATTTCAAAGCCAAATTATTTAGGCCTGGAACTGCTGTGATGATACCTTATGGAAATAGTTCTGCTGCTTTCAATTTTTAAAATTTTATTTTCTTTATCCAGAACCCTTTATTTGGCTACTTCTTCAAAAATTGCTGTGGTTTTGTTCATGAAATAGAAGAATGGTGCATCATGAGACATGTAATGTACCACAGAGGGAGGCCCATAATGAATACAGATGTAATACAAACATTCTGAGAAATGATTGTAGCAACACATCCAAATAGAAACATTTTGGCCCATAGCTTTCTTATTTTACCTCAGCTCCAATAATTTCTAAATTCCTCTTGCTGAGATAGGATACAAGTCTAAGAAAAATGCATTGATGTCTCCTTATGAACAAGGAAAGCATAGGAAGGTACATCTTATGTGGAACAACAAATCTTTCTGTCTTCCAAAACCACATTTGATAGTACTCCATCTCATCCCTTCTGAAGTGGGTGTGTACTGCTTGGATTAAGAGGCAAAATCACCAAAAGTTGTCCTTGTCCTTACAGAAAGCACTGTATCTCCCTTGGATCATTGAAAAGATGGCAGAACTGATGTGCTTTCAGATTCTTGGCACCATTTTGAAGGTGGAAGTGTCTTAAAGGGTTATTGTAAACAGCTTCACATAGAAACTGTATGATATGGTTCAGACAGCTTAGCTCAGTCACAGCCAAGGGGACTCCTACCTGTCCATTGTATTTATATATAAATAAACTATGTAGTTCAAGCTGAATAATCACAATGTATAAAATATGGAAGACAAAGAGAAAAAAAAAGGAAAAAAACCTACTGCCAAATTTTGCCAAGAATGAGGGAAACATCTCTGAAATTTTTGAAAGAAAATATCTTAAGTCTCATGCACAGGCACCGTAAGGGACTAAGTCCCAAACCATATGTCTGAACATAATAGGCCTCCCAGGGTGCCACAGTGAATCCCACAATGAACCCAGTGTTTGGTAAATACTGAAGGGCTGTAAGATGACTCAGTCCTAGTTGGAACTTGCAGAGCCTCTTCAAACTAGCATTTCCCAACTTCTCTGCTCATGTTGATGTTTTTGGGTTGATGAAGTATTAATTTGGTACTTTACTCTTTGTCCCTGTGTCCTCCACCTCATTCTCCTATAGAGTGTAACACAATGTGCAGCAGCAATATTCAGTCCTTCATCAGAAAATTGTGTTCAAATTTCCTAGACCAAGACCTTCTTTCCTCACTAGACTTTTTTCCCCTGGGTGTTTTTTGTCTGTTGGCTTTGTATTTTGTTTTGTTTTGTCTGTTTGGCTTATGTTTTATTTTGTTATTGGGGTGTTCTTTTGTTTTGTTATTTTTGTTTTTCTTCCTTTTTGGTTCTGGTCATGATGGAGTATTCCTGCAATTTATATCATAAACTTGACAGAGTGGTAACAGGTCTGTCTAATATCTTTATTCTCAACAGCTGAAGGGAGCTCACAAAGCACCAGCCTATGCTGGTTTTGATAACCAAAATTACCCCGTGGCAAAGGGAGTCATTTCAGTTGTGGTGCATCAGATGTCGAGTTTGGAGGGAAAGTGCTGTATTTGCTCTCAAGGAGTGAACTCATGATTTCTGAATGATGTAAAATTATTTACATACAGCTCTGTGCCTGGGTCTATGTGAAGTGATGTTTCCAACCAGGCTGAGAAATTTGTCTCTCATATGCCAAAAGGTTGCACAGCTTTCTAGGAGTTAGAAGGGGATCATTTGCCTTGCTGGTCCTGTGACCCACACTGCTACGGGATGCAGAGCACATGGTGTGACATGAGGAGCTGAGGCTGCCTCAGGAGTCGTTTGCAGTGGGTGCTCCCATCATAGCTGTATTTCAGGCTGGAATTAAGCACAGCTGTGCTGCACATGGAGCAGGGACCTGTGTTGTTTTCAGCCTGCATGTGCTGTCCCACAGCTGGGGACTAGCAGTGCCCTGCAGCACTGGTGGGGAGGATGGTATGGCTGGGTGTGCTGGCCCACAGCCCAGCTGGGTGTGAGGGTTTGAGTGACAAAGGTAGGCTGCTGTGCTGTAAAAAGCCCTATATTTTTTCTTTACTCTTCTACTCTGCCTAGGTGAGTTCCTAACAAGTGTTTGGGGTATGTTTGTCAAACCCCACAAGCCACACAGCAGGAAAAATAGTACTTGGATGTGTGTGTTTGTTGGCAGCCTGTGGGCTCATATTGAGCAGATATTGCCCCACAACCTTTTACAGAAGGCAGATTGCTCCCCCTGTCCCCTGCCCTGCCCCTGAATGGGCAACTCTCAAAAAGAAAGTAGAAGATGCTAAAAGCAGACACTTGTGTCAAGGCCTACCTGCTTTGGCACAGTACTAAGTTTGTTTCATATTAGTTCTTAGAAATTAACCTTTGATTACAGAAACCTATATTTTTTTACAGATTCATATTTTGTTTCAAAGGACCAAGGCTGGTCACTTGATGAGTCTGACCCCAGAAGGCACTCTGTTTTCTTAGACCTTCACTGGTTTTTGAGAATTGAAGGGTGTGTGTAGCATTGTATTGTAGTGTTCAGTATTGAATCAGGATCAAAACTTTTTTACAAGGAGAAAGTGGTGGGTATCTGGTGGGATTAGAGCCTCAGAAACATTGCCTGATTACTTCTCAGTCATCACCTGGCACCTTCAGCTTCTGGTAATTAGCCTATCTCTTAATGAAAATGCACATTTAAAAAATTAATGCACCCATCCCTAAAACTTCAGGTTTTAGACACCTTTTCTGTAGTCCTGACAGTGTTGATATTTTTGCCTCTGCCTTTTCATATGCCATTTGTATAAGTTTACAAAGATATAATTAGTTCAGAATTATCTGTATGTGCAGTAATCATCTTGTGGGTGTTGTGATAGGTTTAGAAAGACAGGCTTTTTCATACATAACATCATAGTGTGGTGCAGGGTAAACTGCTCAACTCATGGTTTTAATCAAATCAGAATTAAAGTGGTTTTGTCTTTTTAACAGGGACATGTTGACCTAGCAATCAGTGAGCTCTATGCTGGGGCTAGTATGAGAAGTACAACACATAAACACCAACCACAGATACTTGCAAAATGTTAGTAAAGAACTTGGGAACTAATCCTAAAAACTCCTAGTCTCACACATTGCTTTGGGCATGCACTGCTTTGGGCATGCCACCCGCCAGGCTGTGTGGGCTATAAGCTGACACTCCTGTTCTGGAGCCCCTCTGTTGCCCTCATGCCCTGCAGGTACCCGTGTAACCACGTTTCGGGTACAGTTCCACGTACCTGTGCTGATCCCTGTGCTAACAGACACGCCATAAGACCCCCTGCACACCTGGGCTGGAGGGCCCTGCTTGTCACACCCAACCTGCCACCAGACAGAGCCAGCACCATCAGGCCAAGGCACAGGTGAGATACCAGCACCAAACCAGGGCTGCCTGCTCTGATGTCTCTCTCCACCTATTACAAGCTTTCATCCTTCTTTCTCACTTCTTTTACACCGGATTCTTTCCCCAAAAAGCCTTTGGTAACACCCGATCATCACTTGATCTGGGTAACAGTCGTGTGGAGCAAATTTAGTTGATGTTCTTAGCTAGCCCACTGGGGGCAAGTACTCTCTTGGGACTGGCAGTTTCTGTATTAGCCTGGTCACACACAGTATATCCTCACTCCAGGATCTCTTGTTATCCAGCCCCTTTCGCCAGGCAGAGGTGGTGTAGTGAAATCCTTGCATCCCAATGCTGTTCTTTGGGTGGGCTGCGCTCGGGAAAGGCACTTACCCTGCTAACGATGTCCACCATCCCTGACAATCCCAGTGGTCTAAGAGTCCGTGTTTTGGGGTGAAAGAAGCAAAAACTGTTTTTTAAGACAGCTGAATTAAATAGAAGCATCTCATCCCAAGGGATGAGATATATCCCTATAGGATACCTGAAGAACAAATTTGGGGGATATTCAACAGTTCGATATTTTTTCTTCGATGCGGCGGCAAAGGCCAGCAGTGATTCCCTGGAGCTGAGTGACTGCGAGAATACCGTTTGCAAGGAGAAAACAGCTCGAACTCGGGAGCAGCCGGAGAGAACGAGAAGCGTCCCTGCTGCGCGGCTTCCTCCTACACTCGGAGACTTTCTGTCAGCCCCCGGCTGAGCTGCAGGGGGTCGGGGGTGCCGCCAAGGTGCTGAACGCAGACACCCTGTCCTGCCCTGGGAAGGACACCGGGGCAGGGCCGCGCTGGGTGGGTCTCAGCCCGCAGCCCCCGCAGCCATCCCTGCCGGGCCGCTCGGGTGGGACAGCGGCGGGACAGCGGCCAGGGGAGCCCCCGTGCCGGGCGCTGTGTCTTTAAGGGCCGGGGCCGGCTCCGGGCTCCATCCTCCCTCCATCGCCATCCCCTCCCTCCCGGCCCGGCGGCGCTGGGCGCCGGGAGGAGGCGCCTGCCGCTAACAAAAGTCTGCGGCCGAGGCTCCCTTTCCTCCCGCCCCGGGCAACAAGTGGCTGGCGGCGGCCTCCCGGGGGAGGCGGCGGCAGCGGCAGGGCTGCGAGGAGGAGGAGGAGGAGGAAGGCGGGGCGGCGCTGAAGCATCGGAGGAGCCGAGCGGCAGCCGCGGGGCGGCGGAGCCAGCGCCCGGAGGCCGTCCCGCCCGTCCTGCTTGTGGATTATAACTGGAGCCGCCTTCCTGGCCCGGACACCCCGGCTGGAAACCGGGGCGGGGTGGGAGCACCGATTCATCGCATTTTTGATTCTTTCTCTTCTAAAGTTTTTTGTTATTGTTGGGGGGTTTTTTGTTTGGTTGTTTTGCTTTTTTTTTTTTTTTTTTTTTTTTTTTTGTTTTTTTTTTGTGGGGTGGGGAAGGGAGGGTGTTGGCCACCCCAGAAGAAGCGGAAGAAGTTGCAAGGCTGCTTTGGACATGTCGCCGTGAACACTTTGGGAGGCTCTTCCCCCAGCGCTGCCCCGGGGCTGCACTCCGTCGGAGCCGCGGCCGCCCGGCGTCCCGCGGCAGAGATGCTGAGCGGCGGCGTGGGAAAGCGGCGACGAGCATGAAGGCGGCAGGATGGGCGCGAACAATGGCAAGCAGTACGGCAGCGAGGGTGAGCTGAGCCTGGGGGCGGCAGGAGGGGCGCTGGAGCCGCGGCGGGGGTCGTGCCGGCCGGGAGGGGTGACCGGGCGGGGGGCGCCGCGGCGGGGTCCTCCTCTTCCTCGCCGGGACCGCTCCCGCCCGGAGCCGCCACACAGTCTCCCGCTGCGCCCCTTAAAAAACACCCTTAATTTTTATTATTTTTTTATTTTTCACTAAGTTTAAACTATGTAGTTTAAGTGCTGTCTCAGCTCATGATGTCGAGGCAGCGGCGCGGCTTGCTGTTCGAAGGCAGCTCGGGGGTTACGGAGAGTGTTAACTTCGCTAAAAAGTTGTAGAGCGCTCTTTGTAATCCTTTTTTACTCGTCTTTATATCCCGGGATCCTTATATTATGCAGTATGCTATATGACTGCTTCCTGTCTGAACAGAAAGAAAAAAATTAACCCCGGCAAGGGTTGGGGGGAGAGTTAATGTTCTCCAGCTGTTATCCATAGATTGTACTCCTGCAATTTCGCTTCAGTGAAACTTTAGTGGGCTTGGTTTTAGATATACAGGGCCTGATTCGTTCTTGTGGAAACCTATTAGTCTCGCTGGAGCTGCATCAGGGATGAATTTCAGCTGCTTTGCTTCTGGTGTGAAGGACTACTGGAACAGTCAGCTGGTGTTAGGCAAACCAATGGCAAGTACAGAAAGTTTGTCTTTCTGCCAGCTAGTTTTAAGCTTTCTTTAACTTCTAGCTGACTTCTATATGAATTGCCCTCCAAGTATTTAGGCAACTCTGTAGGATGTACAGCTTCCCCCTGGCGTATTGGGTGACTGTACAGGATCACCACCACCCCCTTTTTTTTGTTGTTGAGGGTTTGTAGGTGGAGAGAAAGAGATGATCTTGTGGTCTGCTCCATTCTTTGGGAGTTCAGATGGCAACTGCCAAAGAATACACCTCTTGCATCCAAAATATGCATGAAGATTGTGTAAAGGAAAGGGGAAAGACGCCACTTCTAGAGCAGACTCTGCAGTTCCTTTCATTTATTGCCAAATGAGCTCTGCTTTTTGAAGAGTTGATGAAGTCAGATGCTTTAAGCTGAAGATATTCTTCCTGTCGTGGGGTTTCAGTCAATTGATACCATCACTAGAAAAACTCCTGCATAAATGGGGAGAGCCTGGAAGTTGCAATCAAAGCCTCTTTGGACTCCTCCTGAAAGGGGAAATCTTAGTTTTTCATTAGAGTTGAAAGGGCCATCGTTGATAGTTCTGGTCATGCTGCTGGGAGGTGTTTACCTCAATGACCAGAAGGTGTGGATGCATGCCTGATCTTTTGTGTGAATTCAGAGGACTGAGTGCTTCAATAAATGTACAGTTTTTGGGGAGAGATGTGACTGACATAGAGTCTTTTGCAGCCCTCAGTGAAGGGGAGATTAACTGTTCCAGAAGTACCTGATAGGCACTTCTGTGAGGAAGAGGAGGATTGGTACTACCAGGGTGTTCTTAGTTCACATCTCTCCTCCATTCAGAGTGGAGATTGGATCCTGGCAGTGCACACTACATGTGGCAAATGGATCTTTGCAGTGCAGACCATTACCTGTCTTGCAAATTAGGTAGAATAGTGGTTTAAAGTTAAAATAGACTTAAAAAATCTCCAAGCCCCATGACCAAAACTTCATCATTGATGTGCCTCATAGATTGTGTTTCCTGGTAACTTCCATGCATAGTCAGTTACTGAGAAACTTGGAGAAGCTCTCATACTAGTTTTGTTTCCTGAGTAGTACAGAGGAGAACAAATCTAAACCTGATAAAGGGAGGCTCCCCTGCCCCATAAACTACTGGGGCTTTTGGTGCCTTTGGCAAATGAACCACTTAATTGCTGTAAAAAGTTTACAGCAATTAAGTGGTTCAAATTAAAAAAAAAAACAGTTTGCTGTTTTTAGTAGGATGTGATTATGCTCCGAGGTGGGGGAGGAAACAACATTTTCTTTAAAAGCAACCTGAATATCCATTTGGAAGTTCATTGAGTGGCACCTCAATGTTTTTAGCCTCAATCTCAACAGTTTTTAGCCTATTGGGCTTTGTAGGCTGATGCTGCACTATGCTATGTCATTTTAGGGGTGGAGAAAAGTACCTTTGTTAGCTCAGCTTCTTGAAGGCTGTTTTACCATTTGCTGCTTGCTGATATCTTAGGTGGGATTTCAGGAAGACAACTGCAAATGATTTTTAAAATGGTTGGGTTTTTTCCTCACAGCTTTCCCTCCTATCTGCTGTGGAACTGCAGAGCTTCATTAATTTGCCCAAATTGGTTCTCATCTCAGTGTTGAACAGATACATTAGGGCAAGAACAACTCTTGCTCAAGATACCACTTCTAAAATAGAGAGCTTTTATGACCAGGAAATTGGGTGTTACATGGATTGCTACATTGTCACACTACCAGTAATAAACTTTTTTTGAAATTCACATCTGTGCTGTGTATGCAATAATCTCAGGCAGCTAGGTGTTTGTGACTGATCACATAAACTACCCTGGACTGCCTTTATTTATCTGGTTGGCCAAGGCTTTATGGAATGTGATTTTATTGGAAGCTACAACTGTCATATTAAAATACACCGGATCTTTTTGATTACAGTTACATGTTGAGGATTCTAAATCAGTATATAGAGTCTGGTGTATAATTGACAGTGCCTTTAAATGTGTTTGTTTTTCATTTATGTAATTTTCTAAAGCTAAAACTTGCTCTGAGTGAAGCTTACATGTAAATAAAATTGCTTACCTGAAAAATCATATAATGATTTTTGGGATATGAACACAATACTCACTTAAGAAATTATGATAAATTAATATAGAAACAAAACTTTATTTACAGGAATTTATCTCTTTTTATATGTAAAATATTAAATACAAGGTTAATTTTCTAATTTTCATTTGAATTTTTTACAATAATTGTTATAAGGCAGATTACTCCTGGAAACTGTTTACCTGAAAAATATGTGGAGCTTGAGATTTCAGGCTTGTTGTAATAGGCAGTAGATTCAGACTGACGTGTTAAAGCTTGAGGTGAATCTTTCTGAATGTGTTCCAGCAGTTGTGTTTCAACAGTGCTGCTGATGCTAATAGAACACTGGAGCAAGAAATCCACTTTATCATGGAGCAGAACTTGTAGGGCTTTTGTCTACACAGATAAACTGATGGAAATCATCAGTGACCTTAGCAAGAGTCTTACTGCTGTCTTTCACTTTCTTGTAATGGGGATAAACCATTTTATTTTCTCTCACTTATTGAGCTACTTGTTCAGTTTTTAAATAAGAGGGAGCCTTGTGTCTGATAGTGGTCAGAGCAGCCTTTTGTTGTAGAAGCTGTCAAAAGTCAGGTGTTCTGTTTAAGGACCTGCCTTAAAATGTAATTGCAGCTGACCAAACAAGACACTACTTATCATAACAGATGAGGGACTGAATTGAAGGATGTTGCCCTTTAACTATTGCCAAGTTGATGAGACACCTTGGCAGTGTTTCTGTAATGTTTCTGCCCAGAAAAATCTCCTTTGCTGGGCATGAGGCTGGGTGGGTGCTGGCGGTAATGGGTAAAGTCCCAGCTGTTGGCATGCAGCCTTTGGGAAAAAGTTAACTGGATGCTGTCCCTCTTACCACCTGAGGCAGCTTCTCATCCTCAAGGGAAGGACTAAAACTGCTTCTGTAGTACAAGGGAAGTGGCTTTGTTATATGAGTTGGAGGAATAATCTGTGTTATTACATATGAAAGGAAGCTGTAGCATTGAGGTGAAATTGCTGCTTTGCAAAATAACTTTTCAACATGTCTTCTTCACAAGTGACTTATTCATTAAACTGAGACCTGAGAACCAGTCAAATTTGAGAGGAGCTAAATAATGGAACAAAATGTTGACAATACCGATGTTCAGACCAGATGAAGGAATGTCTTTTTACCAACTCTTTTAACAACTGTCCAGAATCCTGCAGTTGTGGATAAAACTTTCTTTGAGCCTCTCCTGCAGTTTCTCCATCCATGAACTGGTCTAGAGAGGATTGGTGACAATGAGCTCCACTTGATCAGTTAAAATGTATCATGAGAGACTTGATGTAACACAGGAGCCTTGTTCTGTAGAGAACAGAGGATGGCAGGGGAGAAATAGATGAAACTGTGGGAGAAATAGGTGAAACAGCACCTTAGACAAGGAAACCAACATCCTTTCTGAATCATAAGCCTTGTTGATGAACTTTTTCTTTTTGAATCTGAATATTTAATGTGGGAAGATTTTAATGTAAACTCTTTAGGAATAACTTTCACTCTTTTCTTAGTTTGAAAATGTTCCTTCTTCAGGCTTTTATTTGTGGTCAAAACCACTTGGAGGGAGAATTCCGTGTTCTCCCAGTGTTCTGCTCAAGTAAGCACCAGCACAGAAACCTGCCCTTGTCATAAGATACAGTTGCTAGAAAGCACAGCATGATTTTACAAAGGTGGTGTTAATTATGATGTGTAACCTGGTATACAGTAGCTAAAACTTTCCAAGAATTGCCAACACGTAGCACTGTGGAGAAATGGGTCAGTCTGTGTTCGTTTTGGAGTACCCTCTCAAACCTGTCCCTTCAGCTGGGAAATGTGGTCAAGGTCTGCATTATAGAGCCAGGCTTTCAGACTTGTCCTTTTTCTTGAAGGCGCTGTTGGTCACTAACTCATTGTGAATGCTGCCTTTCATTTCAAAGTAGATCTCTGCTCATTCAGTGATGGCAGGTGTTCTGACACACCTGAGGTTGTGTATGGAAATCTTTTTCATCCAAAAGCTCTGGCATTCATGACCTATAGATTTTGCCATATGTTAGTATCTGTTTCTTCACGAGGTGTTGCTGGATTTACTTCACATGCAGTGCTTATGTCAGCTGTGAAAAACAGTGTACCATGGTAGTCTTGCACTCTTTTGTTTAAAGACTTTGTTAAAGAGTTGAATCATAATCATTTACTAATTATTTATATTGGTGGTTAGAATCTGTGAAGCCTCATGGGAAATTTTAATG